GGCTCATCGTGATGTCTAAATATGTCACTTTTCACCACAGCAGTCCTCCCACAGTGATATAATGAACTCTGAAATCGCTGTGTTTCTGTCACATGTTTATGGTACAACAGCGTCAGTTCCAGTCATTAACATTAAACTGTCTGAAACGCTGGCTGAGGCCTCACTCCGCCGCTCTCCGCCTCTCCCTCCATTAAGACTCCCAAAGAAAACGGCGTGATGTAAACAGCTCCAAACGCTTGAAAGTGCCGTTGATGAAAAGATGAGAAAACTTTGTGACAGGCTGAGGTCAGGGGACAATCCGCTAATTTAAGAAGGGCAAGGCTACTGCTTTCACGACGCCGGAAAACACTCCAGCACAAAGAAAGAGGAAAACCTTGGGGCCCTGGCAGCCATCTTCATTAGAACGTCTCTTTAGTCTTAATGCATTTCTCGTCATTAGCCTGGGCACACACGGGCGCCCTCCTCTTCACTGAGTATGTACACATTGTTTCTGTAATTGCCATGCGAAGGACAGATGGCGCAGCGTAAAAAAGGCGTATTTTTATTATTATTATTATCATTATTATCATTATTATTATTCAGGTGTGATGTGTGGAGACTTCTGAGACATTGTCACAGAGGCCATGTGGAGTCACGGCTTTGGATTATATCAGAAAAAATTACAAATTATAAAAGGTGTTACAGTACAAAAAAACAAAAAAAAAACAGCGTATATTGTAACAGCTGTTGTGATGCTTTTCTGATTTATGTTCTAATGTTGTTTCCTCATCACAAACAGACCTGGAGTTGTGTTTTGTTTCATACACACGTTTAACACACAAACCTGCACATTTAGACTGAGTTCTTCTCTCAAACTGAGAGAAGTGACGTCATGCAGTAATACAGGAAGTGCTCCACTGTGTTTTTAAACTGGACACACATTCACTAGAATCGTTTGGGTGATTTCAACCCTGGAGTTGCCAATTTCTACTGAACTAAAGGAGCTGTTATTTTGAAAACTGACTTTACATCACAAGGTTGAACAGAGCATTTTGAGCTTAAGAGATGAAGACAGACAGATAATAAAAAGTTACTCAAACATGTGAATGAAACAAAACACAACTCCAAGTGTGGCTTAAAACTCACAAGAGTCAATTTTGTGTAATACAACAAGAACAACAACAACAACAACAACAACATTTGTATTGTGCTTTTCGTGACATTCAAAGACATTTACATACATCAGGACAAATACAAACACAAATGAAAGAAACAGATAAACAGGAGATCCATCCATCCATTCTTCCTCTTTTCTGGGGCTGGGTCACGGGGGCAGCAGTCTAAGCAGGGACTTCCAGACTTCCTTCACCCCAGACACTTTGTCCAGATCCTGAGGTGTTCCCAGGCCAGCCCAGAGACATAGTTCCTCCAGCGTGTCCTGGGTCTTCCTCGGGGTCTCCTTCTGGTGGAACATGAACACCTCCCAAGGAAGGCATTCTGGAGGCATCAGAACAGATGGTCTCCCCTCAGCTGCTCCTGTCCATGTGAAAGAGCACCGGCTCTACTCTGAGCTCCTCCCGTGTGACTGAGCTCCTCACCCTATCTCTAAGGGAGCGCCCAGCCACCCTGTGAAGCAAACTCATTTGGGCCACTTGTATCCACGATCTCGTCTTTTCAGTCATTACCCAGAGCTCATGACCATAGGTGAGGGGAGGAACGTATATTGAGCAGTAAATCATGGAGGAGTTCAAGTATAAACAGGAGATACAGTTATTTAAAGGCAGTTTTGAAGAGGTGAGAACAGAGGGTGGGGGCAGCAGTGGAGAAGGCCCTGTCCCCCCAGGTCTTGTGTTTAGTCCTGGTGGGGGGACAGGAGGTTGGTGTAATATAGGACCTTTAATATGCAGAAGAGATAAGTATAGAGAAAAGTGGAGTATTTTGGCAGTTTTGTAACAGAGTAAGTAACAGCAGGAGGCTTTAAGAGCAGATTTGTATTGAATTAGGAGCGAGCAGTTTTATAGTTGTGGATGTAACATGTCATTGTCATTCAAGGTTATCGCTCATCAAACACCTCGAACACACTCATCCAGCTCAGAGAACTTTCCACTCTGTTTTCCTTTTGTCCTCTGTGGATGAAATCTGAATCCATCCTCAAGCTATTTTTGACACCTATGTAAATGTAATGACAACTATTCTGACAAATCAGAAAAAAATTGATTCAAGTTGGTGAGGGTGCTTTGTAGTGAAAATCACACATCTCTAATGGTGGAATGTTCAGCAGTTACCATGGTGACACAATGCACATATTTCTAAACACTATCAAGAAATGTAAGATTGTCTGAAAACTCAAAATGGATTCTAATAACACATTTCCAGAGAGTTTTGCAGCACAAATCAGCTCACCTGTTGTAGTTCCAGCAAATTTTTAATTTTATTATTATTATTTTTTTCCCTAGTCTGATGGTGTTCAAATAAAGCTCTGATTAAAGTCTAATAAAGCCTCAGACAGAGCAGTGCTATACATACCTCGATACATAGGCCACGATACGATACATACCTCGATACATAGGCCACGATACGATACATACCTCGATACATAGGCCACGATACGATACATACCTCGATACATAGGCCACGATACGATACATACCTCGATACATAGGCCACGATACGATACATACCTCGATACATAGGCCATGATACAATACATACCTCGATACATAGGCCACGATGCGATACATGCATTGATACATAGGCCAGGATACAATACATACTTCGAAATATAAGCCACAATATGATACATACCTCGATACATAGGCCGTGATGTCATACATTTCTTGATAAAGTGCATTTTCAATTTGATACGATATATTTCAAATCTATTTGATACAGTTCAGTAAAAAAATAAAGGCTAAATCATGGCTGTGACACAAAAAGTCTTTGTTAAACCATTTCTTGTCCAAAGTTCAAATGAAAACCTCATTTTAACCCATTGAATCATCAAAACAGTGAAAATGTCAAATGTGTTGGATAAACAAGTTTCCTTCCTCTGGACAAACAACAAAACTATAGCTGTAACAAAATAATTTAGTAAAATAAACCAAGAAATACTCTTGGTGATATATCAGTACAGCAGCCCACGATATCAATACTGTATCTTCACATTAAACAATACGATATATAGATAAATAGATATTGTGATATTTTGCACGGTCCTGCTTCTAAGAAAAGCAGCTGTGTCGTAGTTTGGGTTTTGTGTTTGGTTAGTCGTGGTGCAATTGTTTTCAGACAACTCTTAGATTACAGGTCACATTAGGAAACCTCTGTGTGCAATGCTGAGCTCTCAGATTGATTTATATTGTGGTGATTTCAGCTTTTTTCAGAATAATGTCACACTCAAACGGGACCCAAGAGCCACTTTTCCCTAATGAAATCCAAATTAAACGTGATCATTTCTATTAGTGACCAGGCCCTTGAGCTCTCTGTATAACAACACAATTCTGCACAGTGACAAAAGTAATTCTAGACACTCATTTGTATGAAAGGTCCTATACTAAACACAATTGCCTTTCAATGGTCAAGTATGCTGTGTACTGATTGTTTGGGTTTGTACATTTTGGTGATGCTAGATTATATTGAATTTTCACAACATTTCACAAGTTTTAAGATCCTATATTACCGTATTTTCTGCACTATAGGGCGCGTTTTTAAGCCTCCAACCCCATCAAAAAAACAAATTGCACCCCACAATCCAGAGCGCCCTATACACGAATCCACTCAGGTGTCCCAGCACTGCCTACACTGCCATCTGCACTTCAGTAAACTACAAAGCTGCACCACCCGCAGAACACGCAAACACACACGGAGCAGACAGCGACCGCACAACCAAAAACACAACCACAGACACACTCATCACTCCATGTGGCCGACGAGAAACGGAACGGAGGAACGAACCGAAAAAGCGAGTGCAATGTGCCACTTCTAGACACGACTGAACAACTGAGTCACTGCGAACACGCCGACAATCCAGCGATCCCAGACAGCACCTCCCTACACGCCACAACTGAACAAAGCCCAGAGTCACTGTGAACGCCACAAACAAACAAAACCACTCACCCATCACACTGTTGGGTTTCATTTAAAGTCCGCTGCGGTTTATTTGTGAAAAAAGTTTGAAAATAAACCATTTAATGACAGTGCATCTTATGGCATGTATCGTGCCCTGGTCTATGTATCGAGGTATGTATCATATTGCCAACCTTTTAATGATGCCCAGCTGTAGTTAGAAGTCAGTCTGGGATCTCTTCTGTGCCGCTGATGTTGTCTATATTCTCTACAGCTGTAATGCTAACAGTAGGCACTGTTCTGTCTGAGGCTTTATTAGACTTTAATCAGAGCTTTATTTGAACAAAATCTGGCTAGAAATTTTTGTGCTGCACATTAAACATCTAAAAAGCACCATGAACACTCCTGAAAATGTGTCGTTAGAATCTATTTTGAGTTTTCAGAGCGCCCTATAGTGCGGAAAACACGGTACATATAACTGACTCTTGTGAGCTTTCAGTCATGTTCTAATGTTACTGCCTCAAAAACAGATGAAACAAAACACAACTCCATTTCTGTTTGTAATTAGGAAACTATATTATAACATTGATGAGAAAATCATGTAATATAGCCCCTTTAAATCTTATAGAGTATTGTGGTGGCATCTTTTACCCACCAACACAGACTCTAGAGTAGATCCTATCTCTTTCTATCAGGTTTTCTAACACATCTTAGAAATGGCAGAGATTCAGTCCATTTGGAATGCAGAGCTGGATGTAAACTTAATACCCGTCGTGTGTGAGCCAAACAGCACAAGTGAAGGGCAGAGGAGGACACGTGTTTGGCCCTTCGTCAAAACCATAAAGCGACGGCCACGAGGGGAGCGCTAAACACATTAGAGAAGCTATTGACATTTCCCCGAAGCATCCAAGAGGTGTACACAGATAAGAAGCAGCATCCAGCGCCGCTCATCTTTAATGTATCACCGCCAATCGGCAAGCAAACTCATCAATAACAATAGCCCCGGATCTATCAGCTACACCTACACCCTCCGCCCCACCTACCCCAGCCTCACCTACCCCAGCCTCACCCGCCACCTCACCTACCCCAGCCTCACCCTGCTGCCTCACCTACCCCAGCCTCACCCGCCACCTCACCTACCCCAGCCTCACCCACTCGCCGCCTCACCTACCCCAGCCTCACCCGCCCGCCTCACCTACCCCAGCCTCACCTACCCCAGCCTCACCTACCCCAGCCTCACCCGCCCAGCCTCACCCGCCTCATCGCCACCTCACCTACCCAGCCTCACCCGCCACCTCACCTACCCCAGCCCTCACCCGCACCTCACCTACCCCAGCCTCACCCGCTCGCCGCCTCACCTACCCCAGCCTCACCCACTCGCCGCCTCACCTACCCCAGCCTCACCGCCCGCCTCACCTACCCCAGCCTCACCCGCCCGCCTCACCTACCCCCCAGCCTCACCCGCCACCCTCACCTACCCCAGCCTCACCCGCTCGCCGCCTCACCTACCCCAGCCTCACCCGCTCGCCTCACCGCCTCACCTACCCCCAGCCTCACCCGCTCGCCGCCTCACCTACCCCAGCCTCACCCGCTGCCTCACCCACCCACCTCACCTACCCCGGCCTCACCCGCTCGCCGCCTCACCTACACCAGCCTCACCTACCCCAGCCTCACCTGCTCGCAGCCTCACCCACTTGCAGTCTCACATACATCATCCCTCCCTACGTCTAGCCCGGTGGCCCTCTCCCCCCAGCCCGGTGCCACGTTCTCCCCCCTGCCCGCTGGCCCTCTCCCCTCTCCCCTTCTCGGAGACGCGGCGGTCTCTCTATCGCCCACGTGGAGGTGAAGGATTTCTGGGAGCTTGGAGGGACTCCATATGGCCGGGATCAAAGGTGTCGCTGGGTGCATGGTTCTGCTTGGTTGCCAGCCACCGCCGTTAATTAGAAAACAAGATCAGAGGCGGTATTAAAATCCAATTAAGCCCGTATGAACAGATTGCCAAGTGATGTTCACTAATGCATTACTGAGCACCATGCAAATTTTAGTGGCAGCATTTGGCTTTATGTTGTGTGCTTGTGTCATTAAGAGTGTGTGAGCGTGCACGAGGGCTGTGCACGAGGAGCGTGCACGTGCGCCCCTGTGTTTGTGCCAGGGAGCTGTGACATTGCCTGATCCTTTCTCTTGATACACGCCATAATCTCATCTAAACAATCAGCGCGAGCTTTGCACAGCAACAGCACCTCTCCACACAATAAGATTGGCTGATATTGCTTCTTACAATTAAAGCATAATTGAGAATACTGAATTATTGATCCGTCATAATTGAGTTCTCTTCATCGGATTTGTATGAGAAACTAATACGACGTGCAGAAAAGCTGCAGATTTGGATAAATTGTCTGAGAGTAGTTAGGTGTTTTATGGATCTATACTTTTTCATTTAGTCTTGACTGGCCACTGGAATATGAAACATAGACTCAAGTTTGGAGCATTTAAAAGTTGAAAGACTCTGCAGGTCTCATTTAGAGTAAAGTTTACAGTGCAGATTACAAAGACACGTCTCACATGTGTCCTCTGTGAAGGGCATCAGGTGGTCCAAACACAACTCTGTCTGTGACCCAAGTCTGTCTGAGCCGCACAGAATAATAACAAAAACATAAATGGACTTTATTCTGGATTTATATTAGAGATGGGACGAGACACAATTTCCACAAGATGAGACGAGATCCGAGATTGGGTCCATGAGAACGAGACAAGATGAGATTATAATATAATATAATTTAATAGTCTCACTTTTTTTTTTTTTTTTTTTTGATTTCATCCTTTTGTTTCCATTCTAATACTGCTTTTTGGAACTGTAAGAGATGTAACTCACCTTTTTTGTCTCATGCAAATGTGAACACTTGGAACAAAATCTCACAAGATCATTTTTCTCTTGTGTGCACCATCTAGCGGCAATTTGTCTCACGGGATCTTGTCCCATTCCTTAAGTATATTAATATGTTTACTCTTGACCAGCTGGTTTAGTTCTGGTTTGAGTCCAGTTTAGTCCTGATCTAGTCGAGGTTTGGTCCTGTTCTAGTCTTGGTTTGGTCCAGGTCTGGAATGAGTCTCAGGTTAATCGCAGTTTTGATGTAGTTTGTGCAAAGGTGAATTATACATTTCATTCAACCCATTTCACAAATATTAAAGATTTAATTTTGAATCAAGGCCCAGATTGTAGCAGGTTTGACATCTCTTTTGCTTTTTGCTCTTTTAGCACTTTGTTATTTTATTATATTGTGACGTGTGAGTTACTGTGTCCAAATCATTCCCCTTGTGGATCAATAAAGTTTGTCTAAGTCTAAGTCTGATTTACATTTATAAATACTTTCTTTTCCTTGCTTTTTTGTTCATTTCTTTTCATTCTTTCATTCAAACAGGGAGCAAACCTCTTCTTATTGTCACTTTCAGATCGCTGGACACTGGACGCCCATTTCACTCACTTCCCAACTCCACAAAACACACAAACACACCGCAGAGCTCCACAGATAATATCAAACACGCTGCATTAGATGAGACTCATTTAAAAAATCAACTTTAAAGTCATTTGGCACAATACGCCTCGATTGCCGTAGACAGAGGGAGGGCATCTGGAGCACTGGGTGACGAGTGGATGCAGCTGGTGGCCTATGCCCGGAGCTGACTGTTAATATGGGCCTCAATGCCGCTCCTTTAGAGACACTAAATAGCATTCTGATTAGAAAGCCAGGAAACCACCATCTGCACCGCCGGAAATTACCACAATGAGAAACCAGGGCGCTTTTTGGCTCCGAGTCAAGCGTGGATGTACAAGAGAGACGTTTAAGATCCAAATGAAGGCATGTGCACTTTGAATTCCGAATAAAGTGTAAAGTGGTAATTATTAAAGATTCAGGTCAATAGCGCGAGTTGGAGGGCAGGTTTTTCGGAATGGGGTTAACAGGTGGCGAGGATGTAAACAGGAGAAGGGAGTAGTAGGGTGGAGATTGTATTCGCGGAAATAGAGTTTTGTTTTAATGAAGGGACATAATAAAAGGTGTACGTATGAGGAGCTGCCTACTGCCATCTGCACCGCTGAGAACGAACAAGCGCAATTATCAGAAGAAATAGGAGAGACGCAGACAGCAACATCTGGGAGGCAGGAGGAGGAGAGGAACAAAAACTTCACTTTTTGGCAGGTTTTTATTAAAAGAAAAGCAGCTCTCTCCTGTTCGCGGTCACATTGTGTTAAAAAGTTTTGCTCAGTTCTTTCTAAAGACAAAATATGCATAATTGGCCCTGAGCAATCTTGTATATAGGGGTACAGAGCGCTCGCTCTCAAAGGCCTGTTGAGAGCTGTTGTTGAATACAGCGGCAGAACTGTGCGGGGCTGGTGACGAGGTATGTGCAGCCAAAATGTGAATTTGATTAAAAGTTTTACCTGTAGACCTGTCACCATAACAACATTTGAAGCAAGACATTTTGGTTTAGAAATATACTGCAAAAAATTATAATACTGGAAAAAAATATATGACACTGAAACAATGAAAGTCAAAATAAAGTCATATCACCACAGTAAAAACATTTTTAAAGGTGCACTGTGTAACTTTTTGTTAAGGGAGGGGTCTGCTTGTTTCTATGGAGATGTCATTGCTCTGCCTGGATTGTTCCACAGTGTGACATTAAACAGCTCTACTTTACATTTATTCAGTTACAGGTGCAGGCAAAGTGAAATGGTGAGTGCTGTAACTTTATTAATGCAGCTCCGCAGACACGGCTCGTTATCGCTGCAAAGAATCGCCTCACCTGTTGTCAACTTTTCTTTTGTGATTTAAAATATAACTCATCCAAATCAACAGTGAATACAAAAGAAATACACAGAGGCTGGAGTCAAGGGTGCACATCTGATCGCTGCTCAAACATTCCTCTCTCCAAAGCCACTGTTCCATTTACAAACTTTTCTTCATGTCCGTCGTCTCCTCGGTGCACGTGTTATATATTAGTGCTTTGTGCTTAGAGCCTATTATAACAATATTTTTGTTTTATTTATGGTCATATTTGTGATTTTTCTATATTAAAGGTAGAATGCATAAATTTCTATTGATAGAGAAAAAAAAAAAAACATGTTTTTCTTAGTTTTTCTTTGGGAGGAGCCTCGTACTATAAAAGCGGTCTCCCACCCCCACAGAGGCAGAGTGTGTTCAGAGGAAGAGCTGTGTGCGCTCAGACACCAGCTCCAGAAATATCCAAACATATGTCTTTTCTTCATTTTCACTTCATTGTCTCACTATTTTGTGCACTTCTGGAAATTAAATCACCACCACTATGACTTGACTAAGTCTATTATTTATTTTCCTTCAGTAAGAACTCATGACACAGTTGTGGTTTAGTTTTTGTTTTTCCTCGAGTGAAGCAGAAAAGAGGAAGCCACAGTCTGTGTGAATGTTCATGAGTGTTAGCATGTCGACATGTAGGATGTGAGAGCAGGAGTTCATACACTTTACATATCTACTCCCTATTGGACAGAATTGTACTACTGCACACTATATACAATAATATTTACTACTGTAATACTTGAGTTCATCTACAGAGTGAACAGGTTTAGGCTGAAGTGTAACATTTATTTTGTTAAACTCTCTTAACATGACGGCTGGAAATGTATTTACAGAAAAAACTAAACAAAAAAATGAATCTATGAATGTATATATATATAAGTACTGGTATATGTGTATATTTAGTATACACATATGCACTTATGTGTATACGTGTTATCACCTTGATGATGGTGATGGTGATGTCATGTGGTAATGCAGCAAGTGCTCCACTGTGTTTTTAAACTCCACACACCTTCAGATGATTTCAGCGCTGGAATTGTCAATCTCAACAGAACTAAAGGTAAAAGGAGCTGTTAACATGAACATTACCACTTCATGACATCACAAGGAGGAACAGAGCATTTGGAGCTTTAGAGATGTAGACAATAATAATAAAAAGTACAGTAAAACATATCTCTGTTGTATTTTTACTTATTATAAAGTTAAAAACATTGCATAACTTTTAAAATGTAATTATCACTTATTTCTCAATCCAAAATTCTGAATATAAAGAGTCTCTTCACATTTTGCAGTTGTCTCTCTGCTCTACTCAAAAGCATACGGATGTTTAGCTTCCTGAGAGAAGGAAAAAAAAAAAAAAAGCCTGTGTTGATTTGCACAACATATGGTGGTCTGAAATCAGCTCTACCTTGTTCCCCTGTGCCCTGTGCTCCTATGATGTATTACTGATTAGCCAATGAGCCTCAGAGCTTTTCAAATCAAACCCCCACTCCTCGTACCCGCTCACTCCACGCGCTTATCCAGACGAATACCTCTTATCCGTCTTCTGATGCAATCCATAGATCACGCACACGCCTGCCCGCCGCTCTTAAGCACCTGTGGGCTTTTACAATGTTGTGAATAAAGAGCGTTCATAACAGTGGCTCCGTGTAGTTGAGCTGTGATCTATGGCTCGGCCTGAATCAATAAGCAGTCCGTCAGCCTGACACTCTCCTGATGTCATTATAGGAGAGTGGGCATCCTAATTCACACCACAAATCACCTCCGGAGCAGCCGCATTGATCTTTAATTAGAGGAGGTTGTTAATCAGGGTTATGAGTCTGGAGCTGGAGTAACGCAGCGAGAGTGGAACAGACCAGAGACACGTGGAGATCACAACAGCATTAACACGCTCCAGTGTGGACGGAATCATAAAGACGCTCAGTTGTTCTGGCACAAATGTAGATTCGGTGTATGGACTAAAAAGGGAAAGGCTAAAGTAAACGGAGAATGTTGTGTTGAGGTGCAGTCTAGGGCAGTGCTTCTCAGACTGTGGTGCACGTGCTTCTTCTCCTGTTTTGAGTTTGCCTGAGCGGCCAGTCTCTTCTACATTCTGAAATCAGACAACAACGTGTGAAAAACTTCTGTCCAAACTTGAGACGATCCAACCACAGCTGCTCATTTGTATCACGTGTCTCTTAAATGAGGAAAATATCAGAAAAGAGCCCTTTAATGTTATGTTATAGAAGTTTCTGTTTTGTGTTTTGTTTTTTTCAGGCCACTAACTCCATCAGGTGTCAGGTGTCTGTGCACAATGGGGTGAGTGGTTTCTTGACATAAAGAGCTTTAAGTGTCTTGAAGGTGGAAAAGTGCTGTATAAAAATGTGAGCATTTCCCCGACACTACAATAAAACTGTAAACACTGTCTGATGAATTCTGTTTTCTTTATAAAAGAGACAATGAAAGAACCCTGACACATGATCAGTGTCCAGCCCCGTCACTTCCACTCTACTCCCACTTCAAGATAAACACACAGACACACACTTGTTCCACACTCCCTCTTGAGGTGTCACCCCTCTCTCACCCCTCTCTCATTCCTCTCTCATCCCTTTCTCTCCCACTCTCCCCACTCTCACCACTCTCTCTCACCTGTCCTTCTCTCTCCTCTCTCTAATCTGTCTCTCACCTTTCTCTCTCCCTCTCTCTTTTCTCTCACCCCTCTTTCTATTCTCTCTCACACACCCCTTTTTCTCACCCCATGCTCTCCCCTCTCTCTAACCTCTCTCACCCGTCTCTTCCTTTTCTCACCCCTTTCTCTTCCTTCTCTCACCTCTCTCACTCCTCTGTCTTCCCTCTCTCACCCCTTTCTCTCCCGTCTCTGTCCCTCTCTCTCCTCTCTCTTCTTTTTCTCTTCCCTCTCTCCTGCTGCTGTGTTCGGGTCTTGGAGGTCAGACTGCACACAGCTCCATCTTTTATCCACTATTAACACACTTCACTGTCACTCCTCCCCCACACCTCCTCCACTCCTCCCCCACTCCTCCCTCAATCCTCCTCCACTCCTCCCCCACACACCTGAGCGAAGACATGAGGGAGCTGTGTCTGCTTCTTATGAATGGATTAAATAATATGACTTTTTGTGTGAGTGTGTGAGTGTTTTTTTTGTGTTTTGTTTTTTTAACATTAGTCACAAGACACGTGTGAAACCCTGGAACCATAAGGCACATATATGTTCATCTATATATGTTTGTATTTAAAGGTTCAGTGTTACACAAAATTTAGTTTTTAGCCTTGTTATGTTGACCTGCAGTTGTTTTGTTTCATTCACACATGTTTGAACTACTCTTTATTATTAGTCTGTCTACCTCTCCAAAGCTCAAAATGCTCTGTTGCACTTTATGACGTCATGATGTGGTAGTTTTCAAGTTACAGCAGCTCCTTTTAGTTCAGTAGAGATTGGTAATTCTAGAGCTGAAAAGGTGTGTGAGTGTGACATCACAAGGTGGAGTGTTTTCAGTTTGAAAGAAGAAGGTTTTTAAGAGGAAACTTTAGAACATAAAAGTAACATAATATGAGTGATTTAAATAAAAAACATAGATGAGTGTTTTGAGTTTTTTACAATATTATACAGTACATAAAACTATTATACTGTTTCTTCGTTTTCATTTGATTCACAAATGTCTGTGACTGTAAACCTGCAAACTGGGACCATCCATTTCTGCGGAAAAAAAAAAATCAGCTCATCTCCCCACAGACAAACTTCAGGTGCTTTAAGAGGAGCGAAGTTTTCTCCAGAGTTTTGCAGAACCTTCATCACCTGTGTCCTGATGATGGTTGTAGAGTTTGTGTGTGTGACCCCACGCAGTCGCCCCATCCCCCACGCAGTCGCCCCCATCCCCCACGCAGTCGCCCCCCCCCACGCAGTCGCCCCCCCCCCACGCAGTCGCCCCCCCATGCAGTGGCCCCGATTCCCCTTGCAGTCTCCCCGATCCCCCCACGCAGTCGCCCCCCCATGCAGTCGCCCCGATCCCCCACGCAGTCACCCCGATTCCCCTCGCAGTCTCCCCGATCCCCCCACGCAGTCGCCCCCGATGCAGTCGCCCCGATCCCCCACGCAGTCGCACCGATCCCCCACGCAGTCGCCCCCATCCCCCACGCAGTCGCCCCCCATGCAGTCGCCCCGATCCCCCACGCAGTCGCCCCCATCCCCCACGCAGTCGCCCCCCACGCAGTCGCCCCCCATGCAGTCGCCCCAATCCCCCACGCAGTCGCCTCCCCCTCACAGTCGCCCCGATCCCCCTCACAGTCGCCCCGATCCCCCGCCGCAGAGTCGCCCCCCCACACAGTCACCCTGATCCCCCACGCAGTCGCCCCCGATTCCCCTCGCAGTCGCCCCGATTCCCCTCGCAGTCGCCCCGATCCCCCGCAGAGTCGCCCCCCCACACAGTCACCCTGATCCCCCACACAGTCGCCCCCCGATTCCCCTCGGCAGTCGCCCCGATTCCCCTCGCAGTCGCCCCGATCCCCCACACAGTCGCCCCGATCTCCCACACAGTCGCCCCCCCACACAGTCACCCAGATCCCCTCACAGTCACCCCGATCCCCCACAGAGTTGCCCTGATCTCCCACACAGTCGCCCCGATTCCCCTCGCAGTCACCCTGATTCCCCTCGCAGTCGCCCTGATCCCCCTCACAGTCGCCCCGATCCCCCACAGAGTCGCCCCGATCCCCCTCACAGTCGCTCCGATCCCCCATCCCACAGAGTCGCCCCGATCCCCCTCACAGTCCCCCCCCCACAGTCGTCCCGATACCCCACACAGTCACCCCCCTCACAGTCGCCCCGATCCCCCCCACAGTTGCCCTGATCCCCCTCACAGCTCACAGCCGCCTCTTTCCTCTGTACAAGTCAATACCAACAACACTGTCATTAACTCACCACAGGAATACAACACACACCACTCACATTCCACCACCTTGTGCAACTCTCCTCCACCTTCTACCAACTTCCAAACTCTCTCCCTCTTTTCTCCTCCCTCCCTCCATTATCTCTCCTCCCTCCTTCCCTCTCTCTCCCACATCCCTTCTCCCCCTTTCCAAACTCCCTTCTCTTTATCTCCTCTCTCCCTCCGTCTCTCCTTCCTCCCCCCTTTCTAAACTCCCTCCTCTCTACCTCCTCTCTCCTTCCTCCCTTCTCCCCCCCTCTGATCTCCTTTCTCCTCCCCCCTCCTTTATCTCTCCTAGCTCCCTTGTCTCTCCTCCCTTGTCCTCCTCTCTCCCTCCTTTCTCCCTCATCCCTCCCTCCCTCCTCCCTTCCTTGTGTCTCCCTTCTACTCTCCTCCTCCTCTCTCCCTCCCTCACTCCTTTCTCCCTCCTCCCTTCCTTGTCCTCCCTCTGTCCCTTCTCTCTCCCTCATCCCTCCTCCTCCCTTCCTTCCTCCTCCTCCTCCCTCCTCCTCCTCCTCCTCTCTCCTCCTCCTTCCTCCCTCCCTCCTCCTATCTCCCTCCCTCCTCCCTCTCTCCTCCGGTCTCCCTCCCTTCCTCCTCCTCCCTCCCTCCCTCCTCCCTAATCCTCTCTTCCTCCTCCTTCCTCCCTCCTCCTCCCTCCTCCTCCTCCCTCCTCCTCCCTCCCTCCTCTCCTCCTCCTCCTCCTCCCTCCTCCTTTCTCTCTCCCTCCTCCCTCCCTCCTCCTCTCTCCCTCCTTCCTCCTCCTCCTCCCTCCCTCCTCCCTCCTCCCCTCCCTCCTCCTGTTCATGTTGGATGTGCTCAGACCAGTGTCATAATCTCCCTCCAGTCATATACCCAAAGCGCGGCCCCAATTGCCTTGTGATTAGCGCACAATAAAAGAATGTGATGGCTTAAAGGAGCAGAAGGGGAAAGCTGCCCAGTGAAAGAAGGCTGCTGGAGCTCTGTAATTATGCCAGTCTGCACTTGATGAGACAGATCTCACTGGCGGGCCACAGCTTCACACACTGTTTGATTTTACGACATAATAACAGTCCAAAATCCAATGAGAAGATTTCATATTGAGCCCCGACGAAAGCGTGTGTCCAAAGTCAACAGAGACAGTAGACCACCCCCCGCACCCCACCCGCGGGAGAGGGAGGGGGGAGGGGTCAGGGTGCAGGTATAATGTACATGAGAGAGAACACACCTGGGAGGTCTGACTGCGAGGGAAGCACAAAAGGACAAAAGTGACTGGGGAAGGAGATATTGTGTGGTAAAAGATATTATCACACTATTTTCTGATCTTTGTTTCTTCATCACAAACACACCTCCAGTTGTGTTTCGTCTCATTCACATTTACGCATTCACACAAACCCTGCACATTTAGACTGAGCTCTTCTCTTAAACAGAAAACACTCTGCTCCACTGTGTTTTTAAACTCTGCACACCTACTTAAATTATTTGGATGATTTGAGTCCTGCAATTGCCAGACTCTACCAAACAAAAGGTAAAGGGGCATTTTGAGCTTTGGAGATGTACGGACTAATAATAAATGTTACTCAAACATGTGTGAATGAAACAAAACACAACTCCAGCTCTGTTATTTAAGGAGGAAACAACATTATAACATGACTTTAAAGCTCATAAGAGTCCATTTTCTTCTATCTTTTCTTTCACAGTTTTACACAATGATATCACATCACTACTGAAACTCATTTTGTTATTTTTTTCTATGTATTTATTTTTTTTTATTGGGACAGAGTTAATGGACAAACATGACAAAACATGGATTGTCACCTAGGGCCCCCGTTGCCCCAAAGGACTGAGATCACAGGGGGCCAAACAATAAAATATTGCACACTCCATTCATTTTGCAGTTCCCATTATTGCACACTCCACTTATTTCACACCTCCTGTTATTGCACACTATTCATAGTATAGTTCCCATTATTGCACACTCCATTCATTGTACAGCTCGAGTTATTGCACAGTCCATTCGTTGTACAGTTTCGCCGTTGCACAGTTCCCATTATTGCACACTCCATTCATTGCACAGTTCACAGTATTGCACAATTCCCTTTATTCTGCAGTCAGTTTGGCCACACATTCAGTACATGCAGATATGTGTCCATAGAAGATCAGTTAGAGTTGTTCACAGAGTTGTTCACACACAAACAAATACGTGTAAATGTGTATAGATTTTGTATATAAATGTCCAAAGACACTAGATAAACGTGTGTGTGTGTGTGTGTGTGTGTGTGTGTGTGTGTGTGTGTGTGTGTGTGTGTGTGTGTGTGAGAACAGCACAAGTCTCAGGCCTCTCACAGTTACAGCTCTCATAAATCATCGTGTGGCGCTCACACAAAACCAGAGTGAGTCTCTGCGTTTGGAGATGAGTGCAGTTTTGATGCTCGATGACATAGTTTCACCCTAAATGACCAAACCTCCCTGTGCGTGGTTCCTCTCTCTTCCTCTGGTCTCTGGGTCCTGTAGTTATAGGGGCTCAGTTTGACCACATGTCTTTGTTCCTCAGGGTCAGATTCTCTCAAAAGAAAAGCTCTGCCCCATCCCAGCTGTGAGTGACCACCTCCACCGCACGCCGCTCCAGCACTGTAAAAAACACTGTTGTGATCAGAGGAGTGTTCGAAAGCATATGTCAGGGGATTTCTTTTCTTCTGTTTTTTATGTTGCATTCATATTCCACATGTTGAAGATATGCTCGTGGACTTTAGGTGCACCATGGTGTTTAGCTTTGCCTGGAATGTCCCACAGAATGGCATTTAATGTTCATATCTGAAAAAGCAGATTTTTTCATCGACTCTCCAACAACACTCCCAGCCCAGATACGAGAGTGCGGGTGAAGTGTCCTAAAGGTGCACTGCGTAACATTTCTATAGTGGAGGGTCCACCACCTGCTTGTCTAAATGGAAAATTATTGCTTTGTTCACTGTATAGATTAAACAATATTCATCACCATGACATAATTCAGAGGTGTTGTGAGTTTGGCCAGTTTCATGACTGGTTCAAGGAGCGACCATCACTTTTAGCTGTACTTTTGTTTGTCCCAGACCCAGTTTGATGATCTGCTGTCCTGCACTGGTGCACAGAGAACTTTCACTGGAGAGTAGTCCCTGATTTGTTGACACAGTGCATGATATGGCAGAAGTTTTTTTTTTTCTTTTCCTTCTGGCGTTTGATGTAATGAACCCTCGCACAGATCTCAAGACACCACACTGGAGCTCTCGACACATGTCCACCATAGATTTTAAATGAAAACCTGACACCTCAAAGCCACGATCTGAGTGCAGCTTTAATGACTGTCTTTAAAGAACAGTGTGCACTAGAACAGAGCCACTGTTGCCCTACTGCAGCACCCAGCAGTGGTCTCCCACCCAAGGACTGACCAGGCCCTGCCCTGCTTAGCTTCTGAAATGTGATGAAGCAGCAGGTACTGTATGACCACAAAATATCCAAAGAGGCATTTACTCAGAAACCTCGACATTGCTGAGAGATTCTGGACGTGTCATTTCAACCATTATAAAAATTATAAAGTTGTTTCGTGAATGAAAGAGAGCATTCTGAAACACTTAATACTCTGTCCTGTTTTTACAGTGCATCTTCTGACCACCCTCGCAAACAGCCCCGGGTTCATTCCACTTCTCCGTGTCCCTCTCTGTTCCCACACGCAGCATATGGACCACATTTACTCTGGTCGCTGTCACTGGCCACTGGGAGGCACTGGGAGGCCCTGGCGTCTCTGTCCCCAGCCCCACGGGGAGATTAGTGACTGCTGTCCAAGAGAGGCCTTGGTCCAGGTATGCTCAACTGTGTAGGTCCAGCCAGAGGGAGGAACACATACAGGAAGTGAGTGAGAGAAGAGAGCCGGTTAGGTCGGGTATCAATCGCTGGAGTGTATGACGAGGCCCTCACAGAAATTTGACATGCAGAACTATAATTCCCACTCCAACAGACTCTAAATATTTTAGTGGCTGTGTACAGCTACGTGGTTATGACGTTTGTTAATCTTCACCTGTTGGCAGACCATAAGAGATACTTTAACCGCTGTCCGTTGTCAGCCGAGGTGGAGAGAGGAGCGCTTTGAGGGCCGCAATGAGGGAAGAGCGACAGCCTACTCGTCTAGTCCGAGCGGTCCAGGGGAACAGTAGATGGGCTCAAAGGACAGCAGGCTTGTCATCCCGACGAAACGTTGGGTCACATGTACCACGACGACTCAACGGAGACGCCACCACGAGTTGGTGAGTGATCTCATGAAGTCATCGTTGATTCACATAAAGTGTTTTTTCTACTAATCGATGCGGTGATTCATTAGCTCTTCACCTTCACATACCATTGTAGAGCCATCAAGGTCCTGTAAGGTCACATCGTTCAGCCGCATTCAACACAAATGGGGACGAAGGGTTAAACCTGCATCCACTTGCATAAACGCAATGATGGTATTCAGACACAATGGGCCGTATGTGGGACTTTAGTTGTGAGCGGAACGCTTAGCAAATTCTACGTCTCACCGCACAGATACATTTTTAACTCCTACTTCGAGCTATAGGGTCATAATGGAAGTGCTTGACTGTAGCTCTATACCCAATACTGATGTGCTTTGACTTTGAACCGCCCACAGCTTTTGAGCAGTCTACCAAAGTGGATAGACAAACGCTCGTTTTATGTGAAAAACATCAAAATTCTGAAACTACTCTTCAACACCTTCACTTTTCATGATCTGAATTGTGAGTATGCTTCTTATTCCCTGAGTGCTGTTGCAAGGTCCTTTGAAAAATAACAGCGAGCCTTGTGATTTATCTTAGCTACACTGTTATAATTCTAACTACCCAATAGCTTCAATAAATATATCTCCACTGATTGTTTAATAATCCTTGAGTGAATGTCACATGTATACTGCTTCGTATCTTTATGTCTATTTCTATAGTGTGGACACGAGTCATCTGTTATCACCTATTAGCTTTAGTTCAGCTACCCTGAGGTAAATATATTCCCGACAATCCCAAGGGCTGAAATTGACCCAACGATATTCTTATTTGCTCGACATGGCTTAGTTACTAGAACGCACATGTCTTTTATATAAAAACAACATGTGTGAACCTTTCAGCCATATACTTATCTAGTGTTTCAAGGTATCACTCGAGCGACTAGTTACTTGAAGTCTCAAGGCTACACAACGAGATTAAATTCTTGCACTCTTTTATATGGTAATAGATCTCTTTAGGGTCTTTATCGTCGTATTTTCGATTACACGAGATCCACTATTCTGCTTTTCTTGAGTTATCTTACATGAGTTCTAAACATTATGAAATGTATCAGGATTCATATCTAGTGTGAAACCATGTTGACTGGTTAACTTTGAAACCAGGAGAGTCCAAACTCATTTTGGTGAGCTGTGCGAGATGAGGCTCAATATCCAACACCCGCAAAAACATCATTGAATCATACACTATGATAAATGTTGTTGTAACGCGTATGAATCAGAAAACTACACACTTTCGAAATGTTCACACATATGGATAAGTCCAATGGTGTTTCTTGGAAGGCCAGGTGCAAGACAGTCAAGAAGAGACGGATACGTCACATGAATGAAGCAGTTCGTTCTCATAGAGGCCAGAGATCAGAGTACTTCTATCATTTGGTGCAAAGAAGGTTTGATGGCCTACTCTGTGTGAGAGATCTAAATGAACGTTAAATACAGATAAAATGGAGATCATTATAAAAACACGAGGGGCCACATAGTAACAAGAGTGACTGGCCACACTGAGGGTAACTGACTAGCATAGTACATTAAATGTAGAATTTTAGGAAAACTGCCACAACGATGAAAAAGTAACTCAACGAGAGAATTTGGTCTTGATAGGAGAAAATATAAAATAGAATAGAATAGAATAGATGTATTAGTGGAAACAGTCAGCGCGGTTCATTCGGAGGCTATATTAAAAGGTCTTTAGGTGCCTCGAGTACAGCTGCTCTACAAACGTGTTGGTTCTATTGTTTTGACACCTCTTGGCTTCATCTCGTCTTTCAGATAGGTCTCTTTGTCGTCTATACGTCCCATCTGAGATGCTTTAGGACTGACAACCTTCACATAGTTTCGCTGCACTGTAAGATCTCTTGTTTTGGACTGGGCTAATGGTGTGTCGCTTTTTTTAAGTCTTTGACTTGTATTCTCCTCGTGACTGATCCATACAACACATAGTATCTACTCAACAATTAAATTTTCAAAGCAGACTCTCTAGGGCACTCGGATTCCTAGTATTGTATAACTCTCTTACGATCTTTGGAAGGGAGTACATAGTAAAAGTCTTAACGCGCATATCTATAGAATCATCAAGGCAGTTTTCACATGTTTGGTTAATGTATTGAAAACAAGTGAATTATGATAGGAATTGAGAATAGCTTATCTACCACACATGACGATCCTACACCACAAGGCGTCCTCTTTTGCTGTTTGTTAGTAGAAAAAGAAAATCTAAACATTAGGACTGTAGGACTGAAGTTATCAGTAAAATTACACTATTTAACATTTTAAAAAAAATAAAAAGTAAACCCGCCAAACACGATGATAATACATAGAGAATCATCAACAATTTCTGTGTTTGCTATGGAGTTCTTAAGCCTTACTATTACAATCAGGAGTGTGATCCAATAAAGCTTGTCTCAGAAGAGATTATTAGTGAGAACGATTAGTAAAGTAAACATAAATATTTAATAGAGCAGCTCATGCAGTTCCGCAACACCAACGAACGTTTTAGGCAAAAAATAGCACAGAACACATAATATTGGTCGGTGAAACCCTCGCTTAGGTAAGACGAGCAAACAGGACTACACCGTGAACAGAACTGCAAACCCGCACACATCAAAATATAAATTTAGAGAGATGCACAACACAGAACAAAAAGAGTATAGAGCCACAATACTCAAACACGAACAAACATACGTCTCCATACACGTGAGAGATAATTGGATCATAGCGCGATGGAGCTAGCTTGACGACTAACTGTACAAGTGTGTCTCAACCAGGACCGAGCACATGAGAGAAGGATGCATATGGCTGCCGATCACGCTGACGAAGACTATAACCACTATTGATGAATTGAGTAAATTCCAGACGATAGCTGGCGAGGAGGCCTCGCAAAACACTGGTCGGAAATGACAAGTTGTGTCTTGTGATTGTTGATAGCCATTCTCAATTCGCTTCTCACCACGTGAGTATTTCTTACGTCGCTACTAATCATAACAAAGTCGCCGCAGCAACAACATGATCGGTCCAGCTAGACGAAGAATTGAAGGTCCCGCCGCTGCACTCGTTTCCAGATTGTGGCTTTTTAATGTGTTATGGCCCTCAGCTATTAACTGTGTTGTTGAACCTTTTCTGCTTATAGTTGGATGATGTTGCTTTGGCTGTGGTTTGGATGTACTTGTTTGTCGTGTTGTGGGTGTTGTGTGCACATTAAACGATATATTTGAATCTGCCCTGACTGAGTTATGTCGTTGTACCCTGTTAGTTTGATTCTATTGTGTGTGCTGATTGTGTCCTCTGTCATATATGTGATGCGAGCTTGTTGTAATATTTGTTGCGTTTATTTCTTAGAGGTGGTAGCATCTTCAAGAGCAAATCTCTTTTTTTCTCTGGTGCGTGGTAGGGAGTCGTTTTTATTTTTTGGTTTGGTGCTCTGGATGTATTGTGTGTGTGCTATACTTATTTGTTGGTCTTTTGATAGGCGGCCTTTTTTGTATCTCTTCCGGATGAGAATGATCTGTGGCTATTTATCTGATGTGGTATCGAGTGGGACTAGATTCTGTGTGTGTAGGAGTGCGTAGTCTTGGCGCTTTTTTTGGGCTCGTATGTGGGCTTTCTGTAGTTGCTCATGTGATGATGCTTCTTTTGTTTTTTTGGTGTTAGGTGCATTGTTGAGCTTATTTCTTGGTGCTGTTGGTAATGGCTGTGTTATTATATTATGTGTGGTAAGATGACTTAGATGCTGTTTTATAATTGGGGTGAGCGTAGTCTTGGCTGTTTGGTAATTCTAGTGGTATATTGTTTGTGGAGCACACTGCTTATTTGATGGAGTTTGTTCTCAATGATGAGAGCACTATTTTGAGGTGTAGTGTAGTGGGAGCCCTTTTCCAATTTTCTCTAAGTGATGAAGTTTGTTGACTTTCCATTATTTGTGCTATGGTGTGTTGTGGCTTATCTCTTTGTCGATATGTTGTACTCAGGACTTTACTTTTGGTGTTTTCTTTGTGCTTGTTATTATTTGGAGTATTGTATGTGTCGAAAGACATGAACATTAATTTCTTATTGGTGGGTTAATTTGTCATTATTTTTTGTGAGTGTCGTAGGCACTTTTTTTTCTCATCCTTCTTATAGTGCGTCATAAATTAGCGTTGACAGAGCACTATGTGATACTAGCCTTACACATTCACGCAGATCAGCGTTTGTTGTGACCCACTCTCAGCTTCATCCTAATAAAAACACGCAGATCACTTCGAGTGTACGTTGTTGAAGGTGGGTTACTGTAATAGCCTGTGCCATTCAAGTATATACAGAACTATTGTGTACAACATGGCCAGAGACATACAGAATCTGCTGATCATTTTTAAAATTTGTTTGTCGACGATAGTGGCTTTCGAACCACCTGATCATATCTTACTTCCGTCATTCCCTTTTTTTGTCTTTTACATTTGTGTATAATATAGATTAAGAAGAACTTTTCCATTTTTGTAAAAAGACTGATCTACACGTCGCAGAGTGACAGCGCAGTGGCCGCATGTCGCCGCAACCACGATCATTCGTTGAATCCAAATTTTGAACCCAAGAAGAGCAGTACTCCAGTTGAGTTTGTTATCATTGGTGTGAAAGTGCAAAATGCGCCGCACGCATCTTCCTGCCATCTAAAGTTGCCCAACGTGTGTGTTCATGAAAGCCACTGATTCATTAGAACCCTGTTTACTCTTCTAGAGCGGCTCCGCGACCAAATGCTCAGCCCCTACACAACTGGTGTGCTGCACACTTTTGGTGAGAACCGGCACCCAAAGTGATGTGCGCTCCAGACGAGTGATCGGGTGGCTGCGGTCGAGGGACACGATACTTACCTTCACCACTCGTCATCGAATCTGGTCGCAGGAATACAGTGGACAGTTGGATTTTACCCATGAACTTCTACGCGAGAGCCCAACGTACGAAGCCGAATCGCTTGCGCCTCGGCAGTCTGGCATGTGAAAATCGTGAAACAGTTTCTTCTCCATTCGCACACGCCGGCTCTACCGGACATGAAGCACATAGAGTGCCAGTCCAGTGGACGGAGATCAGCGCACCGAGTGTCGCTATTGGGTCTGGTGCCGTGCTCTGTTCAAGTCAGCGGATGCACTGATGACTTGCACACAGCTTTACTTCGCGCAAAAGCTGCGTGCATTGCAGATGGCTGTTGGGGTGAGGAGAAGTTCAGGAACGGGGAGGCAGCTGAGTAGAACCAACTAACTCACATCACGCTCTTTAGGGTGGGGGGAGTGAGTGAGAAAGCAGTATCTGAATAGAGTACCTAAAGGGTGTCGAACATCTCCGCGTGGTATGTCCATAGTTTTGGCTTAATTGTTGTTACCTTTTTTATCACCTTAGTTGAAGTGGCGTTCTCCAGAATGAAAGCGCTAAGGCCTCAACTACAGAGGGAACGAGAACAGATAGGTAACTGCGCTCCTACACGAGGCCTCAACATAAAACAAAACAGAAGAAGAGTACTGACGAGCGTGTGCAGTATGAGATGGGTATCTTCACTGTCGAGTATCGCCTCATCACGGACGATACGTTTGCTCAGCTCGCCCGAGGATAAAATCACACGCAGCCTTGGGTGAGGTGCAGCAGAGGAAACAGTGAATTGGATATGAACAGGATGCCGATAGCTGTCGGGGTCTCTCATATTTTCTGCGTATAATGCGGTATTGCAGGTTGTTGGAAATGGTAAACACGAGCTCTTGAGGAGCTGTCTGATGCTACAATTCGTTTCTACAGAAATCCAGAGAAGAAAAGGATTAATCGTAATTATTTAATAGTGTGAGTACACCGAAGTAATATTTCCAGACTACGACCCTGACCAAGATGACCGGTCAGCATAATAAGGACAAAAACGCCCGCTTAACGCTAGAGATGACCAAACGACCATAAAAATCAATTTAACGACCCTAGATCAGCGGGGAGTTAATACTAGCGAAAGATAGTTGCAATTATGTAAATATAAGGTTGGTTGGGATTTGTAAAGTGTGGAACGGGTTCATCCTGCGCTGAGACTTGGATAAACTCGCAGTTTTTCCATAGAGAGAGTGTGATAATAAGGTGTGAGAACTGCATGAATAGATGAACGACAATGATTCAGCCACGCTAGTGAGACAGAAACATATTATAGAATTACAAATAAAAACAGTCACAATACGTAAACAGTAATTACATTTGCACAAAGTTGTGGAACTATCCAACCAGAGTGTCAGATCGAAAGAGAAAAATCATACAGATGACTGCCCCTATGCCCCTCCAAACTGTATTGTCTATCAATATAACTTCTCTTTTACCTGTGTTTATATGAACAATTCTGGAGAACGAGGTAGTCGTAGACAGACATTCATCTGATATGTTCACAGTCATGTATTTGCGTGATGTGTGTGAGAACACATAAATTAGTTTTATTTTTATCGATATTTTCTAGGTGTTCTTCTTGACTGATTTAAATTTATTCTCTCTTTCACTTACAATTTCTCAATAAGATAGGGCACGCCCAATATCATCCGGTCTTGCTCTGTTCATTTTTTAGAGGTATATTTGTGGAGTTGCTGCTTTGAGGTCTCGTGGTCATTCGTGCGTAGGTGGTGTAGGTGGAGTGCCTATAATTAATGCGTCTCTGTCTTATCTCCTGTGCAGGAGCTAGAGATGTCAGCCTGTCTCTCCTATGATTATGTCTTCCACAGAGCTAGAAACGTATATCAGCTTATTTGTGAGTTCCCAGAATGTCTATCATTCGTGTCTCTTACGGTCGCTCCTAGGCTTGGGCTCTGAAATATGACTGCCGATGCATGTATCTGCTCATGATAATTTGTGTTCTCTAACAACATATAATCTCATAGCGGACGTTTCATCGTGCTTGACTGCAGAATCTCCAACACGGGCTCTCCAGATGATTGTGACGTCACTCGTAGTGTTCTGTTCCAGTTAAATGAAGCTTGCAGTTTTAGCAGTTATAGGGGGAATTTGGAAGAAATTGGAATTTATTAAAGCAAATGGCGAGAATAAAAAACACCAGATCCCGTAGAGCGGGTTAAACGATCATTTTTAAAAGACCATTAAATGAAAGTTATTTGAGGACTTTCGCTCTCAGCTATCAATATTCCACAAACACAAAGACAATTCGGTGTATCTAGTGCGTCTGAGGACGGTGACTCTACAGGATTAAAGAATGGATGATCCAAACTTACAGAACGTGATAGGATATAAGCATTGATCCACGAGGCGCGAAGATCACGAGACAACATGAGTTGTGTATAGAACCTAGATTGTTCCGCGTGTCATGTTGAAAAAGTATTCAAATCCATAAAAAACTACACAATAATTAACAAAAGACAAAGAACTCATACCTACGAAGTTTTATTTGTTCAATATCGTATGATTGGCGATTAATCTTGAAATCGAGCTTTGCACCATTCTCAGAGCATATACCTCACGAGAAACAGTGTGATTTTTGCTGTCTCTCATTGCTCCACATTGGTGTTCCCGGTGGCATTGTTTTTACACATACAGTAAAATCTCTTTGGTGTATGTTTGAGGTTTCTCATGTGTCCTCGACTCTGTCAGTGAGGTACTGCTGCGGTCCGAACCCGCCTCTGCTTAGTCACGCTTAATGCTCATCCACCTCATCCGTGCGGTCATTGAGATCTACCTTGCACTCCTCACCTCCGCTTCACCCTCTATTTTCATTTACATCTGAGCCACCTGTGGAGATGAATCTTCACTACTTAAGGCTCATCTCCATCATGTTTCCGTCTCATTCGTCCCTTTCATTCTCCTTCTCCTCTCATCATCCCCTTAACTCTTCTTATCTCCTCATCCTCTCATCGTCCCCTTCACTCTTCTCAATAACCTCCGTCGACCAGTTAGTCTCACTCTCACATCTCCATCGTCCTCGCCTCGTCATCTGTGTGCCGCCTCTTTTTCATCTCATCTCAATTACTCCTCAGTATCGCCTCTTCATCGTCCTCTATAAGATTCCTCCTTCTCCTCTCCAATCATGGAAAGCCCAATTGAGACTCATTCCATTAGTGCTCCTCATCTGCGCTCTTTCACAGTCGTGCGCCTTTCACTCTACTTCATCCTCTCATGCATCACTCTTAGCTTACACTCGCTCATATCCTCTCGCCCAAGTGCCCCCTTCATCTCTCTCCTCAGATCACTCCTCAGTCATCGTCAAAGTCCGTCCAACCACTGCGACTCATCTCCTTAAACGTCTCCTCATCAACCTTCGATGCTTCCTCGTCCCGGTCATTCTTTCTCACTACGCATCCTCCTCAAGTTCTCAATCACATCGTCCATAACTCACACTCTCTCCCAACACATACGATCCATTCTTCTTACACATCTAGAGCTGCCTTCGAGAGAGCTCATGACGCCTACATACCTGGGAGCACTAAAGGAGGTGAGGGGAGGAGGGCGGAGGGTCTGAGGACTAAAGGGAGGGGGAGGTTCTGGGAGGAACAGTGCTCGATAGCGCTTCCTATCATACCTGTAGATTACTCACATCACTTTTCTATCGCACACCCCTTGCATTTCTCCTCATCTCCTCATCCTCTCATGCGTCCCCGCCTTCATCTCTCTCTCATTCCCTGTAATCCACATGGCATTTGAACAACATTTTCACTGGTTTGCTCAATTCCTCCAAGTAGAGCTGCGTCAGGTACGAGCCAACTTGGGAGAACAGATAATCTCTTCAGTCCTGCCTTCCTCGCATCAAGAATTGTAATTGTAATTTCATCCCATGCCACTGACTGTAGATTTACTTCCTCTTCTCTCATTTACACTCTTCACTCATTCAACCTACACAGAGAGAGAACAATTTCGTCTATACAAACATGCATCTACTTCTATCTCCTCATCATACCCCTCTCATTTGCGTCCCACACATCCGACCCGTACTCGTCATATATACCTCAGAACAAATCATTTCGTATGCGACTCCGGTTAGCAGCTCTCACCTGCGATACCTCGCGTCGAGGTGGGGACTCCGCCGTATTCGGATGCGTCCACGCCTATTATGTTGGCGAGTGTATTCCTCCGAGCATGCTCATCCTCGTTATCCATGTCCCCTGGTCTAAATTACTCTCTCATCTTAGCGTCCTCAGTTCTGTCCCTCATCAGACCTGTCTCCTCTATTCCTACGAACAGGTCATCATTCTAACCTTGTATCTCTCTCCGTCATCCTCGTCTATTGTCCCTCTTACACGTCTTCGGTGCACCGCACTCGCGTACTCATCAGTACGAGCACCACTGGCGCACGGCTCACATTCCTCCAATACTCCTCGATCTGTCTATCTTTACTTTACAATCTCGCATAATTTCACCCGTTCTATCTTCGTCGCAGCTCCCCATCGTCTCCTCGATCTTGCCCCTTCGACAATGAGTTAACTCTTCGACACCATCATTCGTCCCCGGTCCCATCGAGTCATCTAGTCAGTCGACGACCTGCAGGGCTTTAGGCCCCGTCCTCAGTGATACTTTCACATCAGTCTAACTCCTTAACCCTCATCTTGCCTCACGATCATCACGCCACGTGGCCACTGGAGGCAGCACCACACACTCTCCAGTGATATTCTTCATCCCTCATTACCGTCCACCACTCACTTTCCTCATAGCTCCTATCCACTCGATTGTCCCCTTTAACTCTCCGTCATCTCAAATCTATCGACGACGCCTTTTACTTCTCGTCATGCCATTTTATAGCTTCAATCCTCGTCCAACAGTTTGCGCGCTCTACACTTGACCCTTTTCTATCACTTAACTCAACTCCTCTGATGTACAACTGATCAACACCACCTCATACTCACTCATCACCCTACATCGTTGTCACGGCTTTCGATCTCCCACCTCATCCTCTCGTGGAGTCTTTATGATCCACTGTTCGTGACAGGCTTGCCCAGTGTGTGTTAACATAGCAATCCTGTTCTCGCTCAAAGGTTTAGCAATCTTCAAAACACACTGTCACTATGATTCTGTTCTGTTGCGCTTGTAACTGATCATCACATGCACTCATATGACAAGCCTGTTTGCACTCTCACTCGTGGGACAGTTGGGCATTAAAGGCCCTATGTTACGCAACATTAACTCTTGTGAGCTTTAAACCATCTTATAATGTTGTTTCCCCCTCAAAAACAGACCTGGAGTTGTGTTTTGTTTCATTCATGTTCGAGTAACTCTTTATTATGAGTCTGTCTGCTCTGTTCCACTTTGTGATGCTCCTTTTAACTTTTGTTCAGTCAGCGGATATTGGCAATCCCAGGGCCAGAATTATACAAATGATTCTAGTGAAGGTGTGTGGAGTTTAAAAATACACTGGAGCACTTCCTGTATTACCACATGGCATCACAAGGCGGACTAGAGAAGCCTAAATATACAGGCCATGGGTGAATGAAGCGAAACACAACTCCAGGTAAGTTTTTGACGAGGAAACATTATCAGAAAGTAGTCTATTAGTAATATATATTAAAAAAGTATATACACAGTGATTCATCTGTTGTGGTCTGTGTATTGAATCATAGCATCAAGATACGGTTTGATTTATGATGTGGTGAAAGTTGGCATTAACAAAGACTTTCTCAGACAAATCTTCTTTTCGTGTGTTCCTTCCTTGTTTTTCCCCATGCAGTTTTCATAATAAATAGTCCACACATTCTCCAGTCGTTGTACAATGTCCTGGAGGCTGCAGCAGAGACAGGCTTGACTGCAGTTGGCCCCGGATCAGCACATACCTGATGGGTCCCCTTCTCTGTGCCAAAGCTCATTTATGAAGTATGAGACTGTCAACAGCTCGCATACAAAAACACCAGCCTCGATGACTCATGTTCACATTTGCATTGTTTTCCAAAAGTATAAAAGTCACACAGTAGTAGCAGTTGCAGAGAGATGAGAGAGATACGCGCTAATCGGATCAGGATTTCGTAAAAGGAGCCGTGCCTTGACTTGTCCAGGAGTGTGTGATCTTTGGATAGTAGAGACTGTTCAGATCACAGACCATACACAGGCTGTCCCAAACAATCCGACAGCAATTTAAAAGCAATTATCTTCAAAACTACTAAGTCTAGCTCAGTGAAATAGAACAGTTTAGGTGCTGAACATCATTAGTTTATTATGGGACTTTGTTTGCCTGTTGGTGAAGTTTTTCTAAATGTTGCACTGAAGGCTGCACAGTCTTGGGTGAGTGTGTGGTGACTGTGTGTGAGTCACCCAGGACAAGGAGAAATTCAGTTTGTCAACTGGACCAAAGTTTATTTTCAGTTTATCTTCAGTTCTGGTCAGACTGGTCAAACTTTTGTCCAGGTGACAAACTGAATTTCTCTTTTTGTCATAGATTCTACCTGGACGACTGAGGGTTTGTACACACTTCTCTTTGGGAGTGAACGGCTCAACCTGAAAACAGAACAAAAATAAAACATTAATTAAATATAAAATCTTGATCTGTTTCTATACATTCTGTGAAAATTTGAGCTTATTTCAACAAGACTGGCCAAAATGATTAGCCTGTGAAATGCTGTCACATTTTTGGGGAAACCCTGTATAAATGAACAAAGCTAACCTGCTAAGGAAGTGAGCATAGGGGCTTCCAGCTCCACTGACTCTGGCTCCTGTTGACTTACATTGATAAAACTTGTCATTTTGGTCTTAAATGTTCTAACTAATCTGCTCTACATGATCCTGGTGTTTTTATTTCACTATTTTGTCCATAAATAAATTCCTATTCCTGAACACTGTGGGTGACGTCACATTCCTTTAGTCCACTTCTTTACACAGTCTGTGGTTCAAATATGTAGAAAAGTTAATTCTACACTAAAGCAAAAGCACTGCCTAAAAATGAAGAAGTTCTCAATACTCACAAGTATGACCATTCTTTCCATTCTTTTTTATTGCCTTTAGTTGAGTGGAGTCAGTTCCAGAGCTGAAATCATCCAAATGATTCTAATAGTGAAGGTGAAGAGAGCACTTTCTGTTTTACCACATGACATCACAAAGTGGAACAGAGTGATTTCAGGAACAGAGAGAAGAGCTCAGTCTAAATGTGCAGAGTTTGTGTGTTAAACATGTGTGGATGAAACAAAACACAACTGCAGGTGTGTGTGTGATGATGAAATGACATTAGAACACAGATCATCCTGTGGGCCTTTAAGGTCACGATGCACAAGTCGTATCATTAACCTTAATAACCTTTAGATTCATTTATGAGGTGACTGTCGCTGTAGGGAAGTAGGTGTGTAGACTTTGGAATGTGGTTGATAAACTCTTTGAACGACTGTGTACAAAAGCACAGTCAAGTTTATATCATAGGTGATATAATTATATGTTATTATTTATTTAAAAGTATCTGTAGAGTCAGCAGATTCCTAAAACATTAACACATGCACTTTTAAGTTGTGGGTTCAATTCCCTGGCAATACAGTTTTCTATTTGCATTAGAATTGCAGTTGTCTACACCAGATCAGATTTTGGTTCATGTGTGTACCTGAAGTTGTAAAACTGTTTGGTTGGGGGGTCCATCACCAGCTTGTTTTAGGGATGTAACAATCAGTCAAATCTCACGGTACGATATTGTCACGATATACATGTCATGGTACGATAATTATTGCGATATTTTGGAGAGGTTAACAGAATTGTAATTTTTTTTTCCTTTTTAAATCCCTTGACCAGTCTTCAGTGTGAATCATTACTGCCATATTCCAAAGAAATAACATTTAAAAGTGCTTAATAATAGTTATTTTATTATGTAGTAAAGTAAGTTTTTTATCATTTTTAAGTGAAACGGCTTGCAATTTGATATATTGTGATGGACCACGATATTGTGAGAGTTCTGACGATATGATATCACGATATTTCAGCTTGTTTCTATGGATAATTCATTGCTCTGCCTGGAATGTTCCACAGTATGACATTAAACAGATCATTTATTCCATTACAGGTGGTTTTAGAGCTCAAAAATACTCAACAAACACTCAAAAACAAACATTCTGACAGTGAGTGGGGTCACCTCTCCACAGATCTGACCTGTAACTTGGTCTGGTTTGGTCTCCATGAAGATAGAAAGGTTTAATGCCATACTGTGAAACATTCCAGACTTTTTTGGCATAGGATCCTCCACCCGCTTGACTCCATGTAGATGTTATTGTTGTTTCCAGGAATGTTCCACAGTAGGTCTTTTAATTACTATAACTATCTCCATGGAGACAAACAGGCCACATCACCAGGCCAAAAATACAGGTCAGATCTGTGGAGAAGTGTGCCAGCTCATAGTAACAATGCATGTGTTTGCGGAGGTTTTGAGAAGTAAAAAATAAAATGTAACTGAATAAATTCAAGATATATTTGTTTAATGCCATGCCGTGGAATTATCTAGTGGCTCCAATCAATTTCATTTCTCTCCAGCGAATAGGTCAGGAATCAGAATACACTAGACGGTTCACAAAAACCCTGGAAGTGCAAGTTCGAGCACCAGCCAATCAGCAAAGAGCCAAACATTCTGTGTTGTCAACGATTCTCGAGATCGAGGATTTAAAGCCAGAACAAAGAGAATGTTTGGTGAATTTCATCAAGGGGAAAGACGTTATTGCATTACATACATCATGTCCAAATAGGAGTGATTGGTTGAATTTTTAAAAAGTAGCCGCCTACCTTCGAGCGAACGAATCCTAATGCTGTGAGGTCAGACAGTTTCTACGAAGTGAAACCGGCTGATGAATCAGTCTTCTGTGGAATATCCCTCTTTGAAAAAGTTACACAATGCACCTTCCTTAATTTGTAACACTCGTGTACGAGAAGAAAACTGAAGGTGTATGTGGTTAGTAATAATAATAACATGCAGAGAACACCTTGAGTCATAGAGCAATTGCAACATTTATTGAAGTGTTGGCTTTCTTGTATTGATTTTTCAACACATTACAAAAATACATATATGTCCCAAACAGCATGACGTGGACTGTTCAGAAATCACTTTTTTCACAACAATGCACTCCCCCCAAATAAGAACAAGGAAACTTATCATTTTTTGTACAAAGAGTGAGTGAAGGTTGTGAAATATGGAGAAATGTATACAGTATGTTTGCCAAATTACAACTGTTAAGTGCCATCACAAGAACTTCAACAAACTATGAGGAAAAAAAGAACTCAACATGTCTTATTTGATTGGGAAAAGTATGCACCGTTTTAGGTTCCCCTGCAGAAACTCCTCTTTTAGATTTTCTAGTTTTATATCCATACACGGATTGCTTCACCAAACCAACAACATTCATAAAAACATTAAAAAAAAATGAAAATAAGTGTTTAAAAAATGGCACCAAATTGCAATAAAAATATTCTGGAATGACTTTGCAGTTTTACAATTTCCAAAAATACAGAAACATGATAAAAGTCCCTCCACCAGCATACAAAAAATATTATGGCGTCCTAAGCAATACTTTTTTAAAAACACATACAAGTTTTTTTCATAACTTCAACACTGTAAACATTGTAAGACTGAATGTCCACAAGGGATCTGGATATGTGTCAGCGTTCCTATATTTTTGCAATATATATTCCATAGTATGGCTCAATTTGGCCTCGCTCAAAGTTTTCCTGTGCGTACACCACCAGATCTTGATTTTTTGCAGTCATGCATCAACACATGTAAGCAAGCCCCTCTCTCTCTGTGAAGCCGCTCATTACAATGTATAACCTATGCCGTCACCACTGGCTATAAGGGACTCACGTTGCATTCAAAAGCACTGTATATTCCTATCAGACGAAATTGGCGCAGATAGAAGCTGACAGTGGACCAAAAAGCAGGTCAAAAGTTTCAAAATGTGAAGATGATTTTCGACGGTGGAGGGGGAGGGTTTCGCGAAATGAAACTCGTATCAATTTTCTTTTGATGTGGCCTCTCTGTGTCTCCTGCCTCTCTCTCGCCGCGCTATACACCGGCCAGTCCATGTGAGTTTGGCTACGAAATAATACACACTTTCCATATGTTTCCAATTTGATTTGAATGACTCTGGTCAAGGCCCTGCTCCCTGCTTCTCTCTCTTTCTCTTTTCCTCTCTCTCTTCTTACATACATTTCATCAATTCCATCTAAATCCTTTTATTTTACCGTTTGAAACCAGCCCGTGCAGAAGGTTGTCGAGCCAATTCAGCCCAAATTATCATATAGTTTTCATGCATCAGATTCTTTTCGTGAAAAAAATAATAAAAATAAATAATCCAAAAGAGGTGTAATCCCTGAATGTCACCGCGGCGCACACTGTCTCGGAAATCTGTTCAAATTGTATCGCGTTGCCGTGGCGATTGAGCACACAAATTCGGTCTAAAAGCGCCTCTAATGCTGAATGCGAGCTGGTGGAGTGTTAAAAGACTTAGCGCACACAGCGGAGAGAGCACATGCGAACACATACCGATAGGGCTTCAGTTCAACACTTTGGGGAGGTCGCGTGTTGTGTTTCCATTAAGATTCAGATAATGATATGAAATATTATTGTTCCAAATGTTGAAGTAAAAGCTGTTCTGTGTAGTTGTGATAGAAGAATGAAAGCTGTATGTGTATTGTGTGTTTCTACGCTGCAGGTGGGTGACTCTGTTTAATAATTATAATATTTGTGTCTATAAAGAAAAATCACTGAAATCTCGTATGGAAACACAACAGCGAAATAAATATAGAGGGAGGTTTTGTGACTGCGGACGTGTTGGCTGTGGAAGTTTGAAATCAATTGGTGAATGACAAAAGTGTGCATGCTTTATGGGAGATGCATTATGGGAGATGGAGTGTGTGGGCGATGAAGCAGCTGGTCTCTGATTGTTAAAGTTTAGGCTTTTTGTGTCGTATCAGGGCGACTTCTCAGCATAAAAAAAGAAAATATTTACAAACCATAAACAGGACTGTTCTTCTCACATTAATCACAAGTAGTCTTAACTTATTCAACATTTTACACCGGGCTTGGACTCTGCTGGGACTGTTCTGAGCATCAGGGCTCCTCCTTTAAGTGCAACCTTTTATTTATGTCCCGTCAGGACAGCAACAGGAACTGCATCGAGAATAGTCGCATGCCAATGTTCTAAATAGATTTCCCCTGAAAATGTAAATGTTGGATTTTTTAAATCCAGGTGGAGTTTTAATGTCGGCGTGACATTCAGTGCTTTAGGCCTGGTGAGGACATGGATTGTAGTCCGCTGCTGCAGTTCAAATAGAAAACATCATTTTTTAAAAGCTACTGTTTCACACAGTTTTATCTTAAATGACAATTCCTTAAAGGAAACAAAAGAAATTTGAAAAAGGGTGACTTCTTCCAGTTATATTTAAAAAAAAAAAAAAAATGTTTTAGCACACTTTTAAAACTAATTCCATAGGAAATCCCACAAAGATGTACCTGCACATGCCAAATATCATTACAAAAATCCAATAAATACAGAAATTATTGCACAGTAGAAAGGCTCCATGGATTCCTAACTGATAAAATCCTCAAACAGTTTGTCTGGAAATGCCAGGATGGGCTCTCAGACAAGTTCTTTTAAAGTTTCCCTTTGTTAATATTCTCAGGTGGCAGTTTGTGACAAGAAAAAGACAAACAATAATGAGTCTCATGTAGAGATAGATTCTGCAGCCAGCCCCACAGAGTGCTTTGAGGGAGTTTGTGTGTGTGTGTGTGTGTGTGTGTGTGTGTGTGTGTGTGTGCATACGTGTGTGTGTGCATACGTGTGTGTGCATATGTGTATATGGGTCCCAGTGTGTGGCCTTTGGGTGCTGCTGGCTCAGCCTCTATCGGCCTGCTCCAGTTTGACCTCGCTGGCCATCAAATGTTCCCCGTGCCACTTCTTCATGTGTTTCTCGAGCGTGCTGTAGACGCTGAAGGGCATGTGGCAGATGTCACAGCGGTAAACCTCTTTTCCAAACTGCCCGTGGGTTTTCATGTGGCGGGTGAGCTTGGAGCTCTGTGCACAGGCGTAGCTGCAGAGGTCGCATTTGTACGGCCGCTCCCCCGTGTGGCTCCTCCGGTGGACCGTCAGGTTACTGCAGTTTTTGAACACTTTCCCACAGTACTCGCACGTGTCATTTCTGCGGTCTTTGGAGCTGGGGGGTCTGCCGGGCCCCGGCCCCCGCAGCAGGTGAGGGGTGCTGCTGTTGGAGCGACCCGAGGCGCTGCCTGCATCCATCAGCTCCCCCGGTGGTGTGGAGAAGCGCAGGCTCCCAGTCTCTGAGGAAGAGTGCTCTGAGGAGGTGGCGAAGGGAGACTGACGCGAGTCTGTGAATCCCAGAAAAGGTTCTCTGATGAAGTGTCGCGATGCCGCGTAACCGGCCAGCAGCTGAGAATACACATTCTCCGGGGAGATGAGGGGGAGGGTCGGGGGGAGCTCAAGCTGTTCCTTCTCGATCTTGATCCTCTTGTTGTTGGACGGGCTGGGGATGGTAATGGGAGTTGGCCGGCGCTGGAACAATCCGGAGAAGGCGTCTGCCTCGGAGACGCTCATCCTGCCGTTCATCAAAGGCCTCTGATCGTCCGGCTGGTTCCTCTCTCTCTCCTCATCTTGCTCTCCGTTCCTCTGTGCTTCGTCCCTCTCCTCCGTCTCCGTTGGGCTGCCGCTCCAGGCCTCTCTTGTTGGGGTTGAGTCGTAGGTGATTGTCCAGATGGTTGTACGGGTGCATGATGCCCACTCCAGTGCCCTCTATAATTCTGTCCCCTCCCATGGTCTTCTCCTCAGGGGACCGCCTCTGCCCGTTCTCTCTGTTTTGGCCGAACTCCTGGGAGTCCTCACTTAAGTTTGAATCAGGACGACTGCCATTTCTCAACTCCTCCTCTTCCTCCTCCTCTTCTTCCTCCTCCTCCTCCTCCTCTTCCTCCTCCTCATCATTGTCCATGCCCATTCCTCTGCCCTCCTCGTCTCTCATTTTGTCCTCCCCCTCTCCCTCGCCTTTGGACCCTTGCTCCGGGGAGCCGCTCATGGATCCGGCCTTGTGCATGTGTGTTTTCATGTGTCTCTTGAGCTTGCTGGCCTGGGAGCACGCATGGTCACAGAGATGACACTTGTACGGCCTCTCTCCGGTGTGGCTGCGTCTGTGGACAATCAGGTTACTTTGGAACTTAAACACTTTGCCACAGAACTCACAAGATTTAGATTTACCCTGGCCTTGGTTCTGGTCAGATGGGCTGGTGGAGTTGTGGTTGACCTGGGTGGTGGGAGGCTGGGGGGCATAGGTGAGGAAGGCCGGGGGCTTAGACCCGGGCTGGAAGAGGGTGGGACTCAGCAGGCGGTGCATGGGTGGAACGCGGTTGGGGGAGAGAGGAGGAGTGGGCCCGCCGTTGTTGGTGTTACCTGCCAGTTCTCTCAGACGTCTGGAGAAGTCCATGGAGGGGGGGTCCATGGGGGGCATACGCATCACCCTCTCAAAGGCACTGGGGTGCTGGGACAGCAGCCCCATCTCTTCTGGGCCCAGCCGCTCGAGAGGAGGTTTGGGGGGAGGAGGGGGGCTGACGAAGGGCGGCGTCGCGGGGAGACGTGTTTCCATGTACCCCGGGGGAGGGGGGTGTTCCCTGAAGAGGGGGGCGGCCATGCGCAGGAGGTGGAAGGGGTTACTGGTGTCACCGAGGAAGGTGGGCAGAGGAGAGCGGGGCAGGGCGTCGGCACCCGGGGGTGGGGGCAGAGCCATGCGGGGCGTGAGGGCGGCGTTGGCCATGTGATGGTCCAGGTAGATCCTGATGCCGTGGGTGTTCTGGGCGTGCTGCAGCAGGAACCAGGCGCTGGTGAAGGTCTGCTTACACGACGTGCAGATGTAGCTGGATGGCTCATCTTTATCTGAAGACACAAAGAGAAAGTTCTGTTAATTATTTTGCAGCACAACATTTATTTAAGAATAATTTAAGTGTGCATAAACTTGAACTGTGTGCGTGTGTGTTTGTGCGTCCCTCGTGTGTGACTGGGAGTGTGTGTGACTACAGGCTAATGCAGATGGTGGGTACTGCCCCAAGGCCACCACACATTATGCAAATTCTAATGTCAGCTAGGCTTTAATATACAGATCCATCTCGTCTACTCTGTCATTTCCATACGCAGACAGGAGAGGCTGCTATTGAAAAACGCACCGTGGTGGAGGGGAAAAAACAAGGGAGGGCAAAAAGAATGGAGTGATGGAGGGAGGGTGGGATCAGAGAAGACGACAGGCGCACAAAGGAGAGACAGGAGGGATGATGGCGATGATGCGTAAACATTCTAGCCCCTCTAGTGTTTTGCGTGGCATCTATGTACAGCTCATACGCAGCGGAGGACCTGTGATGGCCAACGCGAGCAACACTACAAATTACCCTTTTAAATGGCTTGACTTCATAACAGCGAATGAATTTATCAGTCACGGTGGTAAGGCCCTTATGAGCGTTCTTGTGACTCATAAAAATCCTCGCTTGCGTTTCATCTAATTCGACACAGACATGCACTGTAAAAAAAGTATTTCCATATAGTCTTGTGTTTGTGCGCCTAAGCCATCTGCATCTACTTTATGATGAGCAGCTACCGCAAAGACAGAGTCAAGTTGGTGCAGTGGTCCCAGAGAAGCCCCCAGGGGGGACGCACAAAGGAATACAGGAGGGATCTTGCCCAACGTCTATGTGATCAAGACAGAGGAGCTGTAAGATGGCCGCCTCAACGCCACCCATTGTCAAGGAATCTAAACACATGCACAAACGCACACACACACACGTACATACACACACACACACACATGCCAATATGACTCTCTTCTGTGGTACTGCACAGGTCTGATCGAGCTGCAGTGATATTGGATTACACAGTACAGGAAATATAAGCAAACTTGTGTACCAGATGTTTTCTCAATTTATTTCTGTCTGTAGTTTTAAGTTTTAATTTGATCTGTTTTATTAACTCTTTTTTCTTGGCTCTCCCATTTTTTAAGCATTATGAATGGGGAGTAATTAACAAACAAATCAGAGCAGGGGTTCTTTTTTAATCTTGGGGCCTGTTTTTTTTTTTTTTTTCTGTACAAAATAACCCAGGGCCAATCTCATATTAAATACATTATACTCTAGTCACAACAGTGTATGAATGAGCTACATGAACGCTCAAATTTGAGTATTATTGTAATGAGTAATGTAGTAATTAAAGTATGTATTTAAGTGCCTTGTCAGGAATGTACTGATTGGCCCTATGGTTAAGAATTATTCAATTTAAGTCTTCAAAACTGTCCAAAAACATCAAATATGAATGAGCTACACCAACACATGCCTTTTAGTAGTAATTAGTAATATAGTAATTAAAGTATTTATCTAAGTGCCTTGTATGGACTATACTGATTGGCCCTATGGTTAAGAATTACTCAAATTAAGTCACCAAACCTGTCCAAAAAATACATTTTTAAGGGAATGAAAAGTATGAATGAGCTACAAGGACACACAGATTTGAGTATTGTAATAATTAGTAATATAGTAATTAAAGTATTTATCCTAGTGTCCTGTAAGGACTATACTGATTGGCCCTGTGAAGAAGAATCACTGAATTAGAGTCTCCAAACCTGCTCAGAATATTATCTGTAAGCAGTGAGAGCTAATGTAAAAATGAGCTACATGAACACCCAAATTTGAGTATTATTGTAATGAGTAATGTAGTAATTAAAGTATTTATTTACGTGCCTTGTCAGGACTATACTGACTGGTGGTTAAGAATTATTCAATTTAAGTCATAAACGCTGTCCAAAAAAAATCTATTTTATAAGGTGAGGAAGAGTATGAATGAGCTACAAGGACATACAAATTTGAGTAATGTAGTCATTAGTAATATAGTAATTAAAGTATTTATCTAAGTACTGCTAGTAGTACAACTACTGATTGGCCCTATGATTAAGAGTTACTGAATTAGAGTCTCCAAAGCTGCTCAGAATATTATCTGTACGCAGTGAGAGTTAATGTATGAATGAACTACATGAATGCACAAATATAAGTATTATTGTAATTAGTAATGTAATTATTTAAGTGTAGTACTTATTTAAGTGCCTTGTAAGGACTATACTGATTGGTCCTATGATTAAGAATCGCTCAATTTAAGTCACCAAAACTGTCCAAAAATCTACTTTGTAAGGAATGAAATGTATTGTATTGTAGTAATTATTAATATAGGAATTAAAGTATTTATCTGAGTACCTTGTAGGATTAGTGATTGGGCCTATAATTAAGAATCACTGAACTAGAGTCTCCAAACCTGCTCAGAATATTATCTGTAAGCAGTGAGGGTTAATGTATGAATGAGCTACATGAACGCCCAAATTATTATAGTATTATATAGTATTATAGTAATTAATAATATAGTAATTATAGTTTTTTTTTAAGGAAACAGCAAAATAGGATATGTTTAGAACCTCTGAACCTCCCGTTGCTGTGTGAAAGCTTAACCTCCTGCACCACAGTAAATATGAACGTGATTAATTGTGCGTTTGTTCAGATTTGTAGATTTGGAAATACAAGTTAAAGCTGCATTGTGTAACTTGGAGATGTTATTTCTTTGCCTGGAATGTTTCACAGTATGGCATTAAACCTTTCTATCTTCATGGAGACCAAACCAGACAGAGTTCTAGGTCAGATCTGTGGAGAGGCGACCCCCCTCGCAGTAGAATATTGTTTTTTGAGGTGTTTTTGAGCTGTAAAACCCAAATGTAACTGAATAAATGTAAAGTAGAGCTGTTTGTGAATGACGTATCCCTAGAAACAAGCAGGTGATGGATCCACAACCAAAACGTTACACAGCGCAGCTTTAAATTTCCTGAAATTCTAAGACAGAAAAGCAGCGAGAAGGTTTGATGGATGCGATGCGGGTCCAGTGGAGTACTTGACACGTGGCTGTAGAGAAACGCTGGAGCAGAGGTTGGAAAGCATCTGAAACAGGAAGCAGTTTTGGCTCGGCTGCGGCGTTGGCTTCCCCCGCGGGAGTTAAAGGGTCAGGCTGAGTTAATGAGAGCTCATTTAGTGATTCTGTCTGCTTTTCTCTGCTATTAGCGGGGGCCATCTTTACAAGTTGTCACTGCTGGCTGGTTTGCATAGGGGCGGCTCATGACCTGACTGCGATGCAAGCCAGTGCATGTGTGTACAAATGTATATGGATGTCTCTTAAATGGTGTGTGTGTGTGCGTGTGTGTGCGTGTGTGTGCGTGCGGTGCGGGCTGCGTGCCTGTGTTTAGCTTGGCGAGACTTCACACAAGCGCTTGGCAAAGAGGAGAGGAGTTGGACGGCTTAACAGCTTGGACAGCGAGAAGAAGAGGAGAGCGCAGGGAGAAAGAGGAGGAGAAAGGGGGGATAGAAGACGAAGGGAGGGGGCAGACGGAGACACACACACACACACACACAGAGCAAGAGAGAAAGAGAGAGAGAGAAAGGGGGGTGTTTACATGCCCCCAGAGATCGGAGCGGTCTATGGACTCGCGGGGCCCGTGTAATTCCATTTGCAAGGATCGATACGAGATGAAGACGTGAAATTTTGGAGCAGGATCGACGAAGATTTTTTTGATTGTACAAAAATAAATAAATCCTGCATTGAGCACGTGATATCGACTGCAGAGTGACCGCTCTGTGTTTCTAATTAAATCATCAAACAACAAAAAATGGTATTGTAAAAAGTGCCCAGCGTGATTTTCAATTCTATTTTTTTTTTTTCTCTTTTCTCTCTCTCAGTTTGGTAAAAAGACTGAACCTGATAACGGCACGTTCGATTCTTTATCCTCAGGCAAAGTTGTTTATTTCAACATGAGAGTGGTCATTCTAATTAGCCTAATCACGTAATTAGAGAGAAAAAAACACAACATATAAAATGAAAAACGTAAAATTGGAAAGCAACAGCACACTTCTATAATTGCTGGCATAGAAAGAATTATGACTATGAGTGTTTTTTATGTTTTTTTCAAATATTTCAGGAGGCTGCAAAAGCTCGATCGCAATTAAACGCATCTATAACGAGATAGACATGCAGGTTAAAGCACTACGCCACATTACAGGTCAGATCTGTGGAGAGGCGTCCCTATTCACAGAAGGAATGACTGTGTTTTGAGCAACACAAACACCTGTAATGAATAAATGCTGCATGGATATGTTTTAAGTCCATTCCAGGCAAAGCAATAACATCTCCGTGGAGACAAGCACGAGACAAATCCTCCGCCAGAAAATGCACATTTGGATCTGAATGGTTTTATAATATTACACCACTACTCCTTACCTACTACTGCACTTTTCACTACACTGTAAGTACAAATGTGGATTCATATGCACTGCCCCTATCAAATATTATAAAATAATGTTAAATACAATGTTTTGTTGTTGAATATTATGTCCTATTGCCAAAAAATAGAGAAAAAATATTTGTGTTTTTATCAGAATCTGTGTGTGACTCCAGCACTTCTCCACTCTGCAAATCCAAAATGTAATAAGACTTGACAAGATCCGTAAAGCCTCGCCGTCTCTCTCCAAAAAACGCAATTTTCTTTGACATTATTTCTGCTTAATCAATACGCCCGCCCCCCTCCCTGCGTGTACCCCCTCCCCCTGCCCCCGCCCCCTCCTCGCCCTCCCGCTCCATCGCCGCACGCGTTTAAGAGACACATTTGCATCCTGTCACCCTCCACGCAGCCCCGCCATATGTCGTTAAAGGAGCGTGCAGGCTAACAGAGCGGCGGCTGATGGGAGCGAGCTAATGACGAGACGTTTCAGAGATCGCGGAAGGGGGCGGGGCCACAGCACTACAGGCCAATCAGGAAACGGGAATCCTACAGCGGAAGAAGTGGAAGGAGCACTTGGTTTTGTTACATA